GTCCTGGGTGCCAGAGGAAAACTGGTGCCGGCAGCCAGGGGAAGGGAAAACCTATTGCACGCATCTTTTCGTGCAACAGGCCTATAGTATAGTATGGTATGGTATGGTATGGTATGGTATGGTATAGTATAGTATAGTATAGTATAGTATAGTATAGTATAGTATAGTATAATTAATGTAATATAATATAATAACCCAAGTTAATAAAATGGTTCAAGGATTAATCTGTCTGAGCGTAAGAACATCACTAAGGACCTGATTCTTTCCATCTCTCAGTGCTGCCCCTGTGTCTGCTGGGTTGGCCTCCGAGGCTGCTTCCTTCCTCATGGTCCTAAGATAGTTGTCATAGTTCTGCTTGACAAATTCAAACCCACAGTTGCTCAGAAAAAAATGGATGTTTTCATCTGGGTGTCTTTTTTTCATCAGCCAGGAAAACCTTTCCCAGAAGCTCCTAGCAAACTTAAGTCTCTTGTCTTATTGGCCAGAATTGCATAAGATGTGTATTGCTAAACCGCTCATTGTCAAGGGGAATGGAAAGTGCCACAACTGACTTAGATCAGAGTGTTATAACCTCAGTGTTAGCAATTTTTTCTTACCTCTTTTTTGGAAGAAGCTTTTCCTGCATGCTTTGCTTTTTGGTTCTCTGCTATAGTTCAGATAGGTAAGGTTTTCTAGATTACTCGGTCTCATATAATTGAGTTGTTATTCAATACAAATCTGCGAGTATTGTTGAAATCCTCTGTGTCATCTACTGTGTTTGATTCTAGGAAAGAGCAGTAAGAAACTTATAGTATCGTTTGGAAATATGCTTAAACAGAAGAGTGTTTTGATAGAATTGTGCGCTAAAGTTAATTTGTATTATGGGTTTAATACCATTGTTTATATCTTTGGTTTTATGAGAAAATTCTTGAGTTTCAAACTCAAGCTTATATTTAATTAATAAAAGAATTTTTTGGAATATTTCAAACACAGTTATTCTTAAGTTGACCTTCCCTTCTGTGTTATGTGGTCACATGTTTTATTATAGAAGTGCATGAGAGCCCTGGCTGGTGTAGCTTGCTTGGTTGAGTGTCATCCCATGTACTGAAAAGTTGCCAGTTTCTTATCTGGGCACATGTTGGGGATTGTGGGCTTGATCCCCCTAGGGCCGTGGTAGGCAAACCGTGGCTCGAGAGCCACATGCGGCTCTTTGGCCCCTTCAGTGTGGTTCTTCCACAAAATACCAGGTGCGGGTGCACATGTACACTGCGATTGAAACTTTGTGGCCCATGCGCAGAAGTCGGTATTTTGTGGAAGAGCCGGTATTTTGTGGAAGAGCCACACTCAAGAGGCCAAAGAGCCGCATGTGGCTTGGGAGCCTCGGTTTGCCAAGCCGCAGGTTGCCGACCACTGCCCTAGGGGCATGCAGGAGGCAGTCAATCCATGTTTCTCGCTCTTGATGTTTTTCTCTTTCTCCCTCTCTAAAAATCAATAAAAAATCTTTACAAAGAAAAAAGAAGTGCATGATAAATTAACCTAAATGAAATTATTCAAGTTACTTACATCTAAAACTGTACTATGTGTTTCTGAAGCATAATGTTTTAATTTTCCATTTAATGTACCAAAGGTTTTAATAGTAATACCTTTAGTTTAAAAGCCAACTGAAATGTTTTGTAAAATATTATTTGGTAATTTGGTTCTTATTTATTTTTTTGATTGCTTTTTTTTTTTTTTTAGAGAGAGAATGAAAGAAAGAGGGGCCGGAGGGGGGCGGGCGAGGGAGGGGTTTGATGTTCCACTTATTTATTTATGCATTCATTGATGATTCTTGTATGTGCCCTGATCTGGGATTGAACCCACAACCTTGGCGTATCAGAACAATGCTCTAACCAACGGAGCCAGCTGGCCAGGGCCAGTTCTTATTTTTTTTTAATGGTTCTATAAATGCAGCTGTAGTGTTTACAACAGTATTTGTACAGTAAGTGTGGGGTGCTTCTTATCGGTGCTAAGAGAAGGAAAATGAAGATGAGGCAGACAGGATTTGGAGTGGTGCAAGGAAAACTGTATAGTCAGTATTGCTGATTTTGTGAATTCTAAGAAATCTATTTTTTGACATTTAGTACAAAATCAAAAATCATCTTTAAGTTTTCTTAGTATATTTATCAAAAGCATAGTTATGCTATTATTTTCTAGAAAGTAAATCTTGTTAATATAGAAGTTAATGGGTGATGTTGTAACACTTCAGAGCCAAAGATAGCTATACTCTCTACAATTGATGTTTGTCACTGATGGGCTCTTTAAAGCACCCTGTGAGGTGATTTTTAAATCACCTCAGTGGTTTAACATTTAACCACTTTAATAATTTGGAGAACCAAAAAGGATGTGTACATTTTGATGGCAAAAGAAGATATTTTGTAAAGGCAATGTGGGTTAAAATGAACTTTCCCTATTTGTTTGCAGATGTTCACTGAGTAAAAATTGTAATGTTAGGTTTGTATTACAAAATATTAGACTGTATATGTGGAAAGGTTTAATTTTCATGAATTCTGAGTCATTAAGAAGCTCTGATGTGTTTTTAGAAGAATTACCTTTTCCTTAATGTGTTCCCTAGAACTTACAGGCTTGAAATTTTAGACATTAAATCTTCGATGAAAATTGTATTACTTATACTAGCTTTAGTGTTCAGTCTTGACTGGATGTCTTAGGGTTGTTGAGCACAAGTTCATCATGCTGAAAGCTTATGGTAAATTACCTTGAAAGCTAAGTGATTAAAGTTGTTGGGGACATTTTGCCCATGTAAATCTCATTTCTGCACATGTGCGTGTTTACACCTCCGTTTATAGGACTGTAGCACAGTACTGCAAAGTAGGGAAAACTTTTCTTCATTCGCAGAATTTCTGGTTTGCAAAAGGGATTTGCAGATCTGTACCTTCTGTGAAGCACACTCTGTCATTTTAATTGCCTTTATTTACCTCTTAGAAAGAAGTCCAATGTGACTTAGCTGGTCTGAAACAACCCTTAGGAAAAGTTTTCTGAAGTTTATGTTTTGTCATAGATTTGCACATGTAAGAGAATGGAGGGAGGATAGATGATTCAGGATCTTGGATTTTGAAGACAGTATATTTCCCTTTATTATAGACTTTTAAGCCTAAAGCTTGAAACTTTTTTTTCACACCAAGGAAACTGTGTTGTAATAAATAATGCTGTAATAAACAGTGATTGGTAAGTGGTTTACATGTTCATTTTATTTATTATTTGATCCATTGGGAATATCTGGTGGAATTAGAATCAATCCATATATTTTTAAACATAGTCACTTTAGTGGGCTGTTTTAACCTTTATGAGAATAGGTTCATCTGCTCCACTCTCTTTTTCCATACACACCCTTAGGGAAGAATGGAGTTGTTAACAAAGAATGAGTTTGGAGGAAAATCTTTATGCCATTTCTAAAATGGAAACACAGTGTATTTATTTATTTTTAGTATAAGGGAACATTTTAAGACTGAATATCTCAGAAAAAAATAATTTAAAAGATCTTAACACCAAGTCTCCATTCCAGCCCTGGGTCATTTTTCTGAGTGATGGTTGGAGTCTTACCCAGAAAAATGTTACGGACCTGGTTAAGTTGTAGCTAACTAGTGCATTGAGAAGACTGTTAAGGCTCCTGAACGCAGGCAAAGCATTCCTGATTGCTTTCCCGGGAGTCTGTCCACGGGTAAGATTTGCACAGCTCTGCAGCAGCCATCCTGCTGAGGGGCGACGCTTGACTGTAAGAAAGGCTGTTATCTGATATGGAGACAGGTTCAGATTGCCCATTTACATGAATTTAGTCATTATTGGCAAGACTACTTACCAAAGCTCAGTGTGACATACATGATACTTCTAAATGGACTGGAAGACAAGGGCACTTTGACCTTGCAATGGGGCATAGATAATGTTCATACAGCTTAAACTTTTCACTTTTTAAATATGAAACAGCATTTGCTGTTTGAAGTTTTAGTTAAAAGACACATTTGAAGGAACTATTTTTAAGACCTCTAAGGAAACAGCAAACCTATCTTTAACATTTTTGTTTTCATTGTTTAGATTTATGAATATTGTCTCTCAATGCAGGGATGTACTAATGCAGAAGGGTAGTCATGTAGTTGAAATCTATCCCATGATTTAGACACGCTGTGCAATTAATTCTTAACCCTCACAATTCCTAATATTCTAGGTGGAAGTTTGATAGAAATGAAAAAAGTGCTTACTGAAACTTTGTGATAAAGAGTGAAAATGGGGCCATGCTGGTTGCTTAGTGGTTAGAGCAGCCGTGGGCAAACTATGGCCCGTGGGCTGGCCTGTTTGAAATGAATAAAACTAAAAAAAAAAAGACTTTTATGTAATGATGTTTACTTTGAATTTATATTAGTTCACACAAACACTCCATCCATGCTTTTGTTCCGGCCCTCTGGTCCAGTTTAAGAACCCATTGTGGCCCTCCAGTCAAAAAGTAATTATAAATGTTGGTGCTGCTTCTAGCTGTTTGTTTTTTCAAAAGGACTGAGCCACTTCAGAAATTTTACAAGTGAGTAGTTTTTTCCATAGAACTATTACTTTTTTTGTTTTAAATACACATGGTTCTTTTAAATCCTCACTCAAGGATATATTTTTATTGATTTTAGAGAGAGGGGGGGAAGAGAGAGAATGAGAAACATTAATGTGAGAGAAGCATTTATCAGTTGCCTCCTGTTCTCGCCCGCCTGGGATCAAACCCAAGACCTTTTGTTGTACTGAACAACACTCCAACCATCTGGCCAGGGTTTATTTAAAGATAAAAATACTCAAAATGGGACACTACTTTGGGTAGAGGTTGGGAAATGGTAAAGTGATAAGTTTCTAAAATACTGTCGAACTTTTCATTGAATTTACATCAAAAGTATATAGTTTTACACATGATGAATTTTTAGTATTGTTTCTCTGTGTGTCGTTTTGACAAAAGTTTTTTCAGTCTGAAGCAAGTTCTTTTTTCCTAAACAGATTTATGAAAATATGCATCAGTTTAATACGGTCTTGGAATTCATGAGATGGAAGCATAGGTCAAAGCTGCTTGGAGAAAATTGGAAGCACAGTTTTATCTCTAGTACATCTCTGAGGTAAGGAAAAGACTTTTAAGAAAATAATTAGAATAATGTGAAACTTAATCATTTTTTAACAATTGAAAATAGTTCTAAATCACTGCTATACCTTTAACTCAGTTTCTTTAATCACCTTCCTTATGAATCATAAGTAGTTGCAATATATTCTCCTCTCCTAATAATGTTGAACCTCTTCAGAAATAAAAAATATTCATTTATTACTAATAACACTTTAACTGTAGAAAATAAGCAT